GATTGAGACCACCATATTTCGTACAGAGGAGAAGGAGGAAACATATCCAACATATCTTCATCACTTTGGCACTTAAATTAAAGATAACAATCCATATACTCACTAGTTTGGCTCTAGTTCTTGTGCCTAAGTTCTAGAGTGTCCTTAAGGATTATCCCAGATTGAATTTCTTGTAACCCAGGCATAGGGGAGAAATATCAATTCGGAAAGTGAACTTACACGATCCTTAAGCAATCCAAGTACTCAAATTATCACCCCCTACGTGATTTACCCCAACAGACGGAACCTTCGTGTATGGTGGGGTGGTTAGCAGAGACGCTTAGGGTAGAAGACATATATGGCCGGCCAGAACCACTTTCTTTTCACGCTTGTATTGGATCTTCACAGCTTTGGGAAAACCGGTGATACCGTGATAGGTGATTTCATTTCTGAAAAACGGAGCAGCAGATATGTGAGATATCTATCGAGGATCGAAAATGAAAGGATCGCATGCAACCACGTCTCACCAAACGGATGTGGTAAACGGAGCTTAACATTTGGGACTGTAGCAACGGAAAAATGCCCAACTTAACTCCCTTACACGCTTTATATATAACCAGATATGAATAATTTTGAAGATAGAAATTTGTTTCGAGCTCAAATTCGAGTTTGAGCATCATGTTTTAGCTCAAGTCTATAAGATTTACTCCGTAATTAACAAATTATTTTTAGGGTGTGTTTTCAAAAATTATAAAAAAGTGATTTTCAACTTTTGCTTAAAAAAGATTAAAACAGTGTTTTTACGTGACAACTTCTTAAATTAAACACTTAAAAGATAAAACTAGAATCTTCTTTTTTACTTTCTTTATTACACAAAAAACTCATCGATGTTAGTTATTTGGTCTAATGTGTGTTGAACAAGATTACGATAAATCAATTTTTTTCAAACAAGAGTAACTTTTATTATTAATCACTTTCTCTAAAATCATTTTAAAAAGTTTTTTTTAAAGGAAAAACTTTGCATACACTCCCTTAATGTACTTTGATCAAGGGGGTACTTAGTGATGGACACGGGCCGGGTCGGGCCCGGGCCGGGTCAAGGCCCGGTTGGGCCTCGGGTCTTGTAATGGTAGGCCCGGGACCGGCCCGGGCAGTGGCCGGTTCCGGTTCGGGCCGGGCCACCGGCCCGGGTCACGGGTCGGGCCACCCGTCGGGCCGGGCCGGGCCGGGCCAGTATTTTTTTCTTTTAATTAATTATATATTATACAAATTCCTATTAAAAACAAAGTTCAAGTGCATTTATTTGAAATAAGAACTAAATTTGAGAATTGAGAAAAAAATAACAATACGAAATACATTTTCTAATGAATATCAATTGGGATTTCCGCCACCGTTGGTTGTTGTTTTCCCTTTGTCACAGGACTTTATATGTTTTATTGGCATCCCATATCCGTATGAACGTCCCAAGCAACACTCTTTCTTGCACCACCTGCAAGTTGCCCACCACAGTCCGGCGGTCTTCGGGTCCTTCCACTTGTCAAAATTGTTTTGCATAAGGGAAGATGTACTTTCCATATTTAAAATGGTATATGTATAAGTAGGAATGTAGGATAATAAGAAAAGATGAAGATGGAGAAGAGTTGGAGAAGAATTGGAGAAGAGGTGTAGAAAAATGTTAGAAAATAGATGTATTTATAGATGTTTTTGAACCCCACTCCCCACACCACCACCCCCGGGACCCCCTGCCCCCACCCATAGCCCCAACGGCTATATAGCCGTTTGGGAGGTTTGATTTCAATTTTTTTAAGTTATACATATTGTAAAATAAATTAATTAATGTAATGAATTAAGTAAAACTAAAACTATTTGTACTTAGAAAAGTGGTTTAATTTATAATTTAAATGTTAAGTACTTTAATTAAATGATTGAACTACTATTTCTTCCTACAAATATAAATTGAAAATAAGAAAATGTGACTTTAACTCTAATGAATTAATGACAATTAACTAGTTTATTGAAGTAGAGTTGTTTTAACAATTAATGAGAATACTAATGAAGTAAATAACTAGTATAATGAAAAATGTAACAACAATGCTAATTAACTAATTAACTAGTATAATGACAAATGTAACAAGAATGCTAATAAACTAATTAACTAGTATAATGAAAAATGTAACAATAATGGTAATGAACTAATTAACTATTATAATGATAAATGTAACAAAAATGCTAATTAACTAATTAACTAGTACAATACTAGTTATAGTAAGTAATATATAATATAATGTTTATAGTATATAATATATAAGTATACTACTATAAGATGAGTAATACACTTATATTTTATACTTTAATATATAAAGTATATATTAAGTAGATGTAGAATGTATGTATTAAGTGGATATAATAATTGTATAAGAATTAAATATTAGAGTATAATGGAGAATTGGAGATTGGAAAATAAGAAAATAAGTATATATAAAATAGATATTATTAAGTAGAGAAGTAGATATTATTATGTATTAAGTATATAGTAATAGTTTATAAAGTATATTTAATACTTTATTATATAAAGTATATATTAAGTAGATGTAGTATGTATGTATGTATTAAGAGATATAAGTAGAGATTAAGTAGATAAGAAATATAAGTAATATAGTATATGTATTTATAAGTAGATAATTAATATATAAGTAGATATAATAATTGTATAAGTATTAAATAGTAAAATAAAATATAAAGGAGAATAAGAGAATTTGAGAAGATGAATATAGAGAATTGGAGATGAGTAGAGAGTAGGATTTAGGGAGAGTTGGAGAAGAGGTGTGAAAAAATGTTTGAAATTAGGAGTATTTATAGGTTTTTTTAACCCCCCCACCCCCCACCCCAAAGGCCCCGGACCCCCCTGGTACCCACCCAACAGCTATATAGCCGTTTGGGAAGTGGCTGTTGAGCCAAAATGGTTTTTTTTTAATTAAAATAATTTTTAAAAAAAAAAATGACCGTTAGGCCCGGGCCCGACCCAGCCGGGCCGGGCCACCAAAAACAGAACCCGAGCCCGGACCCGCTTCTCCCACCGGTTCGGTGCCCGAACCGGACCCGAACCCGAGAACCGGGCCGGTTCCGGGCCCGTACAGTGACGGGCCGGTCCCGGGCCGGTCCCGGGCCGGTCCCGGGCCGGTCCCGGGCCGGGCGGCCCGAACCGGGTCCACCACTAGGGGTACTATATACTAAGACTGACCGCAACCGAGAGAGACAAAAACCATTTTTTGGATTTTGATCCCTTAGGATGTTTTTACTTGGACTGTAATTCGTCCCAGATCAGACTAGACCAGACCAGACTTGGATAGTTATAAAAATACAAAGAAAGCAGACGAGACCAAACCGTACAATGACTCAAATGAGAAACAATAACAACTTTTCAACAAGGGTGAATGAGTTTCGTTATAGAAAGATATACTAGGAAACCAAGTCGGTGTACACAGACATTAGTTATCCGTGTAGACAAAAAAATATCGATGTAAAAAAATTGGTTTGCAGATCTGTTAGGGTGGTTGCACGGAAATCAATGTTGGTGTATACAGACATTAGTTACGTTGCATGTGTAGAAAAAGTGTCTGTACATATACAATTTTCGTCTGTGTACAGACAATGAAAGCAAACTAGTGTTGGTGCACACATTTTTTCTCTGTGGTGAAAGTTCATAGGTGTTACTAGTTTTTTTTGTTTCATCTTTCATTCCAAACAATATTATCATTATTTAGGACCATACAAACAAAAATCCAGGCGCCTCTTATACTCCAGTGAGTTTCCGGCAAATTTTATGGGGAAATGGTGATGGAAGATGATGATGAAGCTGAATAAAATGTAAAAAGAAAAGAAAAAGAGAGAAGTAAAGAAAAAGAAGAAGGAGAAGAAGGAGAAAGAAGAAAGAACAAGATGATGAAGAAGAAGAAGGATAAAGAAAGAAGAAAGAGAGGGGGTGTGGGGTTCATATAGTGCAAAATGAATGTGGGGGAGGTAGATATGGTGTACGAGTAAGTGAGAAATGTGAGCAACTAGAGCAACAACCTCTTTTGTGTGTGCATCATGTTCCACAAGCATGACCCATGAACATAAATATCCCAACTTTTTTTTAAATTGATTTAACTTTTCTATTTTTAATCCAATTTTTATAATAAAAAAAATATATCAAAACTCATGATTTTTAATTATCTTCATACGACAATAATATGGCTTCTACAAAATAAAAAATACAGTGTATGAAGTCTTATATGTTTGAGATTTTTAGGCCCAAAATCTTAGAGATCCAAATGCTAATATTAAGATCCAATGGTTAAAATATTTATTTACATTTTTCACTTATCTTTTTAAAAAATAGGTCAGAAGTAGAAATAAAAAAAATTAAACTCCGGCACGACCTGAGACCCGGCCCACTATTGTGCAGGCACAACCCGGCCCGGTAAGCAAGTAACAGGACCAAGACTAGGTGGGTGGGGCTAATGGTTTTGGGGGGTTGGAGTGGGGGTAGGGATAAATTCAAAAAGACAATTTTTTTTAAAAAAAAATTAACCCAACTCAGCCCGGTCCCAGTACAAACTGGGGCAGTTGCCGGGCCTCCAACCCAAGTTTTTAGTCCTGCCCAATCACGGCCAAGCCCGGGCCCGGTCCACCCCTAGTACTGTAGACCATATATACAAAAAGTATGTACAAGTTCTCATATTATCCATCTTTTATACTCTCTCCGTCCCGCTATTAACTTCCTGCTTTCATTTTTGGGCCGTCCCAAAATTATCTTCTCATTTCCCTAAATGGAAAGTTATCCTACATCAAAACAGTGTAAAAGAGTGCAAAACAGTGCCAAACAGTGTCTAAACAGTGCCAAGCAACGTCTAAACAATGCCAAACAGTGTCTAAACAATAAAGTCAAATTTATTTCCTAAATATGTGTAGGTCAAAGTGAGAAGTTAATAGCGGGACGGAGGGAGTATATGTACACACACCATGCACACGCAATTGATGAAAAAAGTAGTTTTTTCATTGCAGTTTATATATATGTAAACCTTGCAAACTATGATAGATCACAATATCAATCAAACTGCTAGGATTTCAAGCAATCAAAATCAGCAGCAAAACACTGTAGTCAACTAGGAGGGTGGATGATTTAAGTAAAATGAAAGTTGTCCTTTCTTTTAGCGATTACAACAATGCAATTTCATAGGCGGCAGGGAGCCATTACAAACTGACAAACACATAAATAATAGGTAGCCTGCTAATACCATGTAAAATGAAACTGCTATGAACAAAGGACACACAACAAGCATTTTAAATGCACAACACAAAGAGATACTCCTTAACCGTTGTAATAAATAATACAACAGTGTGTCCTCGACAACAACATATCACGTGCTTAACCCTTCCATCTGCAAAAGGTGTACATCGCGTCAAAAGATCAGAAGAGTTAGCATCCTTACCAGGCATAAGAATATATCCATCATATATGTTTTCCAGTAATTTACAAGGCTTTCAACAAAAACAGTGTCCAGAAACTAGTGTGCATACATCTGATAATGTGCATTCAAGTAAACTGGAATTCAATATCATTGTTTAATGCTTCTGGAATCCTACTCCAAACTTAGCCTGAGGGTACTTCACGATTGCATGTGACAGTCTTACAGACCTATTTGTTTGGTGAAGACAAATTGGCAATATATTTAAAAACACTTACCGTCCCAGTCACATTACATGAAGCACGAGTAGCTTTTTAAACTCAAAGTTGCATTTTTAAACCCAAAGTTGCATAATTTCTCAAAGCCACAATTATGCGCTATGAACTACAATCCACATGGTGCTTCAAAACAACAACTAAAATCCACATGGTAATGATGCTGGTCAAATAAAGAAGCATAAGCAGGTATATGTCTATCAAAAACTAAGCATCTGTGCAGCTAGCATATGCTTGTTACTATGTTTGGTAGGTGAGACAGAAGACGGTAAAGTATTTACCTGTTCAGGTGCCAACCTAACAAGCCTCACGAAATGATCACGCCCATTGATGTGGTGAAAAGCTCTGGCTTGATATAGATTAACCTTTGCAGTACATGTGTCTCTAGCTCTGAATGTTATGTAATATACAAAGCCAGAACCATATCCAAGGTTTGCCTTCTCAATAGCCTCAAGTTTCAGATTTGCATCCTGTAAGTATTAGAAGAAACATTAAAGAAACTATGCTGGAAGCTGACAAGATAGATAAAATACTGTTGAAGAAACAATGTACATACGTTTTCAGCATTGTATTTGTCAATAGCCATGTTGGTGCAATTCACCAATCTGCGGGAAGGCCCTCCCTTCAGGTTAAGAGGCACAATTACGCCAGGAACCCCCCCTCTGGGGTTCACTGTGATGTCGCCAAAACCCTAACAAGCAAAGCCAAAACTGTTAATTTCCGTAAAGAGTGAAACAAAACGTAAACGGTTAAGGTGAAGATGCCATTACATCTGTTTCCATGATAATTTTGTTGTACTTCTTCACTTGCTTCCATTGTTTGATACTTTTATAGTCACTAGGGCTTCCTGCATATTCATCATCACTATCATGGGTGGCGGTACTGTCATCAGATGTTACGTCATCATCGATCTCCATTCGTACATCGCTATCACTGGACACCTCACCTTGTACGTCATAGTCGTCGCCCATAGAGCTTTCATCCGCACTCATATCCTCTTCTTCCACTCTCCCAATGGTGCTGTTGCTGCTTCCATCGCTCAATTTGTCCTCCCCGGATTCTGGATTTAACATCTCCCCTACTCTGCCGTCCCTGCTTCCATCGCTCAGTTTTTCCTCCCCAACTTCTGGATTTGATATCTGGCTCACGGTGCTGTGGCTGCTTCCATCACTCAGTTTCCCCCCCGCAGATTCTGGATCTGATACATGGCTTACGGCGACGTTGCTGCTTCCATGGCCCTGTATTTCCTCCCAATATTTGGGACTCTCTTCCGCGGTTTTCTGATCCCCACAATGTAAGGGAAAGGTGTTAGAGATGGGTGGGACGTTCTTCTTGAGCCTTTTCAAAGGAGATTCACAGCAGCCCGGAGTTGGATCATCGACAGGGTTCTCCATGCGGACTAATTTTGAAGGAAATCTAAGGTTGTTTCGACAATTTAGAGATTAGGGATTTGATGGGAAGAGGGTTCGATTATATATATAGGCGGTCCGCTCCAACCAGTCCTCCACTCCTGCGTACGTAGTAATTGTGTGAGTACTAATTTTGTAATTCTATTCCAACCACCTACTTTAATGTTTATTAGGCTAAGTGCAATTTTCTCTCTTAATAAATCTAATTTTTCTCCGCTAAAATATCAAGGGGTTTTTCCCTTAATAGTACTAAATTATAGCTAATTTCCAAAAAAGAGACCATATTTACATTTAGACAAATATGTGACTATTTCACAGTGACATCTTCGCAGTGATCTCAGCTAATCTCTACAGTGAGATCTCTGCCGCCACCGGCCACAGTGACATCTCTGCCGCAACCGGCCATAGTGACATCACCGCCGCCACCGGCCACAGTGACATCTTCGCCACTGTCGGCCACAATGACACCATCGCAGTGACATCTCCACCACCTGTCGGCCACAGTGACACCTCCACAGTGACATCTCCAAACGGTGGCATCGCAGTGACACACCGGATGCCCCAGTGATCTACAGGTGGTGGCTTCGGCGACTAGTGATTCGCCACAACCACAATAATCACTGCATGTGGTGATCATTGCCCCCAGTGACCATTGCCAGCGGTGATCATTGTCCATAGGGGACCATCGATCACAGTGACCTGCTAGCAAAGACTCTCTAAATCAGTGACCCACTACCGCCCTACTGGTAGTCTGGCACTACCCATAGTGACATGCCATCATTAGTGATCCAGTCACTACAGTGACCGCATCGTCCGCCGAAATACCAAACAACCAGATCTAGTCTGTTAATCAAGCTCTTAACCATGAGTAACGATCCTTTCCAAAAGATAAAAAACTTGAGGGTAATTCAAAGGGGTTTTGACCCCAATATTACTAAAAGGTAGACAAAAGACAAAAAATGACCTTTTTGTTTAATTTTCAAAAATGTGACTAATAAGGATTAAGGTTACCAATTTACCCTTAATTTGCAGTGACTTTATTTTATAGTTACAAACCGGCTATAGTGACACCCATTACAGTGACACCCATTACAGTGACACGCATTGTAGTGACAGCTGACACAGTGACCATCGGCCTCTGTTGCGGGCCATTGACCACTGCCGCTGCCACCGGCCGGTAATTGCCACCGGTCACAGTGACAACTCCGCAGTGACACTTGCATAGTGACTCCGGTACAATTACTTCTACCACATTTATTCGGCCAGTTTTATCACCGGAAACCACCACCGTCCAAAACCGCTACCATCGCCGCCAGCTCCTTTTCAACACAAACCCCAACCCTGACCCCCACCTACCCCAGTCCCCCAGCCCCACCCCCTCACTGCATCCCTCCCTAGCAGATTCAGCCCCTGAACCACCGCAGACCCACCCCACACCCCATCTCATCCCTCGAATGCCTCTGTGTCACCCCTTCAACGACGGCGGCAGAGCGATGAGACGGAATCGCCGTCCCCATTGCGTTTGACTACAGATGCGAACGCTAGCCCCGACAATGCCTATTGTTGCCGGAAATTTCCATTCTTAATAACCCTCGTCACTTTCCTTCATTATAGATGATGAATCCTCGCTCGACATCATCAGATATCCACCATCACCAGGCCGCCGCCATCGCAGGTGTCGAGATTTGTTGAAGAAGAGGAGAAGAAAACAGAAGAGTGGCATACATGCATGTCCGTACGGTGTGGAGAGACGGCGTGAAGATGGCGGCGATTTGGAGAAGGCGATGGCATGCGGATGGCTGCGGCTGATCGAAGAAGAACGGTGCTATGATCTTGAGGAGAGAAACGACAGAAATGAATTAGGGTTGTAGTCCAGGGGTATTAAAGTCACTTCATATATTTTGAGTAACTTTTTTGTGCCAACCGGATTGTACTCATCTTTTTGTCTTTGATAACTCTGCAGCTATTATTTACGCCATTATTTCTAATTCAAATGCAATCTATATATATATAAAAGCACAACCGTGCAACATGATGCACAATTGTGACCATAGATTATGACACGTGTCACATGATGGTGAATTACATTACTGTTACAGCACATCTACGAAAAAACTGATCACCGCTTTTTGAGAATTCCACGTGTCAATATATCATTAATATTAAAAAATTAGATTAGATTGTAGCTACAGTTTCTCCACGATAGAACCACGATTCACCATTTCTGCCATGCCATGACAAGGTAGTTTCATCAAATCACAACACTATATATACCTGCATCACCGAAGAATCAAAATGTCAAACTCAAGCACAGGCATTGTTGCAGTATATTTCTCACCTTCCGTCACACTCATATTATTTTACTATGATTTTCTTAGCACAGAGTGAATAATAATTCTGTGGCTAATTTGCAGAGGGTTGAAAATATCAAGGCAAGGCTGAAGATGTTCAACAGGGTACAAGAGCTTAACACCTCAAAGACAAACTGGGCACTAAGAGTCAGACTGGTGCGTGCCTATCCAGTCCCAGTTTTCACAAACAAAAATGTTATCAATACCATGGAGTGTGTGTTTCACGATCAAGAGGTATGTAATTCACGATCATTTTTAGAGTTATAGCCAACTTTACATTTTGCAATTTTCTAAACAAATTGACTCACATTTGATTTAAACAGGGCGACAAAGTTCATGCAACAATTCGCCGAGAAAGGCTTGGGGCATTCAACGAGCGGATAAAAGAAGGAAACATTTACATCTTGAGGAATTTCGTTGTGACTCCTAATTCCATGAAGTACAAGACAACAAATTGTCCTTTTAACATCATTTTCAACCACAAGACTACATTGGTTGATCATGATGTTCCATTTCCAAAAAATATGTTCAACTTCAAACCATTTTTTGGACTTCAAAATGCAAATCAAGTTAACCTCACTGAGTTGTTTGGTATACCATTATACCCTTATATTATTTTCAAATTTTTAATTTTTAATATATCTTACAAAGACTAACTATGAATCTTAACAACACATGGTTAAACAGATATAATAGGGAGTGTTAGGTCCATCCATTTTCCTAGACCACGTGAGAATAATGGAGCAACCCAAAAATTGGTTGAAATGGTTTTGGAAGACCCTGAGTATGTTGTTCATAATTCTTTATTTATTTTAATCTTAATATCCATTCTTTTCTCAAATAAACAATAATATTTTCATCAAATTTTAATCACATTCCATACAGCCAACAAAAGATCAGGTGCACACTCTGGGCTGATTTTGTTGACGCAATAAGGCGTGGGGTAGAAAAGACTCCTAACTTCATGCTAATCGTGGTTCAAATGGTTCACCCAAGACTGTACAAAGGCGAAGTGTGCATGACAAACAGTTACCACGGGTCTAGGCTGATAATCAATGGTAAAGACCAAGAGATACTTGACTTTAAGGACAGGTATACTTATAATTGTGCATTCCATTCAGTGATGTGTGTGTGCCTATGTGAAGACAAACATAATGACTTCATATACAGGTTTGACTTGCACGGTGATGAGGGTTACAATGGTTCACCAATTGTTGTGACCACAGAGGAAGAGGAGGATGGTTCAGGAGACCAAGAATTTGTGACAATTGATTCCCTCTTCCAGGAAAAATTGGTAATTCTGTGAAATCCTATTCTATTATTATATTTAACTTTGGATCATGGAGAATCTAATGCGAGTTGTAAATCTTATATTAGAATGGTCGGTTTTGGGTTGCTGGTGAAGTCATTGATATAGAAACTGGAGATGGATGGTGGTACTTGGCTTGCAGAGAATGTGCCAGGAAGGTGGCACCAAAATGTGGCCGTTTTGAATGTCTAAATCCAACATGTAAAAAGCGTCATGATGCAGTGATGAGGTTTGGTTTTCAAGACTGAGTAATAAAGCTTGGTAGTTTAACTTTTTGCATACTCTAAATAAGTGGTAACTCTAAATATCTAAAAACAAAGTACAGGTACAAAGTTAAGATAAGAATTATGGACAAAACAGCAAATGCTGCATTTATTCTATGGGATACAGCTTGCCAGGAACTATTCGGGAAAAAGGCAGCTGTTATGGTTGGCGACACGGTAGGCAAGATTTTAATTGACTAACTATGACATATTTTGAAACTTCTATAAAGAACTTGCGGAATATATCTTTGAACAGAAAGAAGAAGATGGGTTTCCTTTGGAAATATTAAATTTGATTGACAAGAAAGTGATTTGTTTGGCTCAAGTACAAAATGAAAGCACAAAGAGAGGTGAAAATGCTTTTAGTGTTCAAAAGATTAAGCTTGAAAATGAGAACATAGCACAAATGAATGGTGAAACTTCGCATGCTAAGGTAATAAAACGACCTTCATTTCTACATTTT